TGCCTTCCCTCTAGTCTTTCACCGCTAAATTGGGGATGGCTAGCGCATATAGTCCTCATGTAGCTTTGCGCGAAATTCAAAACAAACAAACATTATAAATATTATTTACATTTCTATTCAAAGCAAAAATAATAAGTTTAAGGCATAAAATGGTAACCCAATAACTTCTTTCTACTATATTAAAGTTATATCTCTGTATCTCTAGGCTTTACAGGTCCAACATGTCAGACAAACATCAATGACTGTCACAGTTCTCCTTGCCACCATGGAGAATGTGTGGATGGCATCAACAGCTACAGATGCAACTGTAATCCTGGCTATACAGGTTTCCTCTGTCAGACTCCAATCAACGAGTGTCTGAGCAACCCTTGTCAACATGGCGGCTTCTGTGAGGACCTCATCAATGGATACCAGTGTCGTTGTCGTCCCGGAACATCTGGACCAAATTGTGAACATAACGTTAATGAGTGCTTTACTAATCCATGCCGCAACGGCGCCACCTGTGAGGATGGAATCAATTCCTATTCATGTGTTTGTGCAGCTGGTTTTATAGGTAAGTTCAATGTCGAACTTTAGTTCGTTTTAGTAGTGATTACAAAATTAAAAAAACTAACAAATAAATATGAAATATTTAGTACCATGTGAAAGACCATTCCAAAATATGTTATCTCTGCTTGAGTAAAATTTAATATTTTAATGTTTGAGTAAAATTTAATATTTTTTGGGCGAATAACAATTGAAAATCGCTTAACAACACTGGATAACTCTGGCTTTAAATTAAAATTACATATCAAAGTCACCTAGTACGTTTATTATTACATGAAAACCTTCTTCCATGGATAAGTTACAAGGTAGCCTTTAGTCTTATACCTCTTCAAACCATTGTTCAAATTAAGATCTAAGAAATTACATGAGAGAAGGAAAAATGTTATTTATATTTTAAAATGTTAGGGCTAATTTGTACTCTTTTATTTAATTTCCCACTAAATTCTTCTGCTAGAGAGAGACATTACTGAATTAATTGTAACTTGGACTAAAAGTTAAATATGTTGATGAGCAATATAAACATTTTAATTTCTAGCAATTTCTGACTAAATAATGTATTTGAGCTTCCTTAATAACTTTAAATGTCTCACATAGAAGTTAATTAATTAAAGTATGATAAAAAAGTCTTTAATTTTTTTGAAAGGTGTTCACTGTGAAACAAACATTGATGAATGTGCCAGCAGTCCTTGTGCAAATGGAGGTAAATGTATTGATCTGGCAAATGGATTTAAATGCGACTGTCCCAGAGGGTATTTTGATGCACGGTGTCTTTCGGATGTGAACGAATGTGAAAGCAATCCTTGTTTTAATGGTGGCACTTGTGAAGATGAAGTCAACAAATACATCTGTCACTGCCCTCAAGGTTAGTAATACATCTGTCATTACCCTCAAGGTCAGTAATACATCTGTCACTGTTCTCAAGGTTAGTAATACATCTGTCACTGTTCTCAAAGGTTAGTAATA